TGAAGATGTGAAGAAATTGGAGTCCTCATGTATTGTTGTTGAGATTGTAAAATGATGCAGCCATTTTGGAAAACAGTTTGGCACTGTCTCAAAATATTAAACATAAATTTGCTTTATGACCCAGCAATTCTACTCCTAGAGATATAACCAAGAGAATTGAAATATATGTTCCCACAAAAATCTGTACATGAATGTTCATAGCAGTGTTATTCACAATATCCAAAAAGTAGAAACAACCAAATGTCAGCTGATGAATGGATAAACAGAGTGTGGTGGATCCGCACAGTGGAATGTTACTTGGCTAAAAAAAGAAAGTTCAGATACCATACTACAGCATGGATGAACCTTGAAAACATTGTGCTAAATGAAAGAGGCCAGTCACAAAAGATGACATATTGTGTGACTTCGTTTGTATGAAATATCTAGATTAGGCAAATTTGTAGAAACAAAAAGTAGATGAGTGCTTACCCAAGGGGTAGGGGAAAGTGGAAAAGGAGAAAAGGTAATGGGATTTCTTTTTTGGAGTGAAGAAAATGTTCTGAAGTTAGATAGTAGTGATGCTTTTATAACTGTGAATATGCTAAAAACCTTTGAACTCTACTTTAAAAGGGTGAATTTTGTGAATTATACTCAGTAAAGCTGTTATTTAAAAAATAAAAAGAGGGCTAGGTGCAGTGGCTCACGCCCATAATCCCAACACTTTGGGAAGCCAAGGCGGGCAGATCATGAGGTCATGAGTTCAAGACCAGCCTGACCAACATAGTGAAACCCCTTCTCTACTAAAAATACAAAAATTAGCTGGGCATGGTGGTACATGCCTGTAGTCCCAGCTACTTGGGAGGCTGAGGCAGGAGAATCACTTGAACCTGGGAGGTAGAGGTTATAGTGAGCCGAGATTGTGCCACTGCACTCTAGCCTGGGCGACAGAGCAAGACTCCATTTCAAAAAAAATAAAAAGAGGTTGGTCCAAAGGTAGTGAGTTATCTCAATTGTTCACAGTCAGTTACAGATCGAACTCTTTGTTCTACTCTTTCCCTGCTTCTCACTGCTCTACTTGGCTAGTCTTTAAAAATACAGGTAGAACCAGGCACAGTGACTCAAGCCTGTAATCCCAGGACTTTGGGAGATTGAGACCAGAGAACTGCCTGATCCCAGAAATTTGAGACCAGCCTGGGCAACATAATGAGACCCTGTCTCTACCAAAAAATAATAATAAAATAAATGTATATATGTATATTTTTATAATCATAAAATATATATATTTAAATTAGGCAGGTGTGGTGACAAGTGCCTGTAGTTGGCAGCTACTTGGGAGGCTGAAGTGAGAGGATTACTTGAGCCTGGGAAGTTGAGGCTGCAGTCAGCCATGCTTCACACTTCACCCTGGATGACAGAGCAAGACCCTGTCTCAACAACAAAAAAAGAGCATTTTTGAGAAAAATGTAAATAAATAAATAACCACCAAACTACCATTTTACATATCCTCAAAATTGCTCCTGTCAGTCTTTTTGATTACAGCCTCTTTTTTGAAAAAGGGTCTTTTTCTGTCACCAAGGCAATAGTGTGATCGTAGGTTATTGCAGCCTTGACCTCCCAGGCTCAAGCAATCTTCTCACTTCAGCATCCTGAGTAACTGAAACTACAGGCACTCACCATCACAACTGGCTAATTTTTTTGTGGTTTTTGTAGAGACAGGGTCTCTACTAGCCCAGGCTGGTCTCAAACTTCTGGGCTCGGGTGATCTCCCTGCCTCAGCCTCCCAAAGTACTGGGATTACAGGCATGAACCATTGTGCCCAGACTGATTATAGCCTTTTTAATGGTTTTGTAGTAGGATTTTATTGTAGTGTTAATTTGCATTTCCATAAGGACTGATGAGCTTCATTCATGTGCATATTACCCATTATATATTTTCTTTGGTAAAATGTATGTTGAAATATTTTGCCAGTTTTTTTGTTTGTTTGTTTTTTGGGGTTTTTGTTTTGTTTTGTTTTGTTTTGTTTCGTTTTTGAGATAGAGTCGCTCTGTCACCCAGGCTGGAGAGCAGTGATGTGATCTCGGCTCACTGCAACCTCTGCCTTCCTGGTTCAGGTGATTCTCCTGCCTCAGCCTCCTGAGTAAAGTAGCTAGAATTATAGGTACCCAGCACACTTGACTAATTTGTTGTATTTTTGTAGAGACAAGGTTTCACCATGTTGGCCATGCTGGTCTCGACTCCTGATCTCAAATGATCCACCCACCTCAACCTCCCAAAGTGCTGGGATTACAGGTGTGAGCCATCACGCCCAGCCATTTTTCGAAGTTTTAAATTGAGTTGTTTATCTTATCATTGTGTTACAAGAGATTACAATCTCTTCTACATACAAATCTTTTATCAGATTTATGATTTGCAAATATTTCTCGAAGTCTGTGGCTTCTCTTTCCATTTTCTTTTTAATTTTTTTGTTTTTGTTTTTGAAACGGAGTGTTGCTTTTTCGCCAGGCTGGAGTGCAACGTGGCACAATCTCAGCTCACTGCAACCTCACTGTCTCCCAGATTCAGGCGATTCCCCTGCCTCAGTCTCCTGAGTAGCTGGGACTACAGGGGCATACCACCATACCCAGCTAATTTTTTGTATTTTAGTAGAGACGGGCTTTCACCATGGCCAAGATGGTCTCGATCTCCTGACCTCATGATCCACCCACCTCGGCCTCCCAACATGCTGGGATTACAGGTGTGAGCCACCACACCTGGCCAATTTTTAAATTTTTTGACACAGAGTCTTGCGCTGTTGCCCGGGCTAGAGTGCAGTGGTGTGATCTCAGCTCACTGCAGCCTCCACCTCCCGGGTTCAAGCGATTCTCCTGTCTCAGCCTCCTGAGTAGCTGGGGTTATAGGTGCATACCACCACACCCAGCTCATTTGTTGTATTTTTAGTAGAGACGAGGTTTCACTATGTTGGCCAGGCTGGTCTTGAACTCCTGACCTCATGATCCACCCACCTTGGCCTCCTAAAGTGCTGGGGTTACAGGTGTGAGCCATCACACCGGGCCATTTTTCCAAGTTTTAAATTGAGTGGTTTATCTTATCATTGTGTTATAAGAGATTATAATCTATTCTACATACAAATATTTTATCAGATTTATGATTTGCAAATATTTCTCAAAGTCTATGCCTTCTCTTTTCATTAATAGTATCTTTGTTGTTGTCTTTTGTTTTTTGATTTTTTTTTTGAGAGTCTCGCTCTGTTGCCCCAGGCTGTAGTGCAGTTGTGCAATCTCAGATCACTGCAACCTTCCCCTCCTGAGCGCCAGTGATTCTCTTGCCTTAGCCTTCCAACTAGCTGGGACTGCAGGCGCGCAAGCCACCAGGCCCAGCTAATTTATGTATTTTTTAGTAGAGACAGAGTCTCGTAATGTTGGCCAGGCTGGTCTCAAACTCCTGACCTCAGGGAATCCGCCCACCTCGGCCTCTCAAAGTGCTGGGATTACAGGTGTGAGACTGACCTTTTAATAGTATCTTTGAAAACCAAAAGTTTTAAATGTTCATGATGTCTAATTTATATATTTTGTCTCTTATGGATAGTGCTTTTGGTGGCATGTCTGAGAAATCTTTGCCTAATCCAAGGTCACAGAGATTTTCTCCTGTTTATACGTTTTTTTAGTTTTAACTCTTAGGTCTTTGTCTTGTCTTTTTTTTTTTTTTTTTTTTTTTTTTTTTTTTTTTTTTTTTTTTTTTTTTTTTTTTTTTTTTTTTTTTTTTTTTTTTTTTTTTTTTTTTNCTTAATAAGTTAGCAGTGTACTACATTAGGTCTTTGATCTGTTTGGAGTTAACTTTTGCATATGTGTCCAATGTTTCTGTATTATTTATTTTTAAAAAATTGTTTCTGGGTTTAATTATACTGGCATGTTTGTAGATAGCCTGTTTCTTTCTGAACCGGTTCTGTTCCATTTACCTAAGTGTGTTGCCAGTACTATACTGAGTTGGTATAGTCTTGCCCTGTCGGCCAGGCTGGAGTGGAGTCGTGCAATCTTGGCTCACTGCAACCTTCCACTCCCAGGTTCAAGTGATTCTTAAGCCTCAGCCTCCTGAGTAGCTGGAATTGCAGGCATGTACCACCATGCTGAGGTAATTTTTATATTTTTGCTAGAGATGGTGTTTCACCATGTTTGTCAGGCTGGTCTCGAACTTCTGACCTCAAAGTTATCGCCTGCCTCAGCTTCCCAAAGTGTTGGGATTACAGGCATGAGCCACCACTCCCAGCCTGGGTTGATACATTAACTTTTAAAAGCAGGTTATATAAGCCCTTCAACTATTTATCTTCAAAATTGTTTTGCCTTTTATAGGTTTTTTATGTTTTGATATAAATTATGGAATGAGCTGATTGATACCTTTAAAAAGAAATGCTAGGATTTTCATTGTAATTTCCTCAGTATATTGGTCATTTTGAGGATTATCATCTTAACAGTATTGAATCTTTCGTTCCTGAACATGTTATATCTTTCCATTTATTTAGGTCTGCCTTTAATTCCAGTGCCTTGAAATGGTTGATTTTGACAGTTTTATCCTTGTTCTTTTATGTGGAGAAATCACTAACCTCTTGTGCCTATATAACCTAGAGTCACTCTGTAGTGTTTTTTTTTTTTTAACCTTAATGACCTACTTTATGCCTTCAGTACTTTATTTCCTTCTATCTTAAACTCTTTTTTTAGTGACAGAGTCTTGCTGTGTTGCCCAGGTTGGAGTGCAGTAGCTATTCACAGGTGCGATCATACTGCACTACAGCCTGGAACTCCTGGGCTCAGGTAATCCTGTCTCAGCCTCCCAAGTAAATGGGACTACAGACGCATGTCCCATCCAGCTCCTTTTATCTTTCAATTAAAACAAAAAAGGTTTTTTTTAAAGACAGTAGCTAGAAAGGATTTTTTAATATTGTATTAGCTGTGATACTTATAGAAATTCCACTGTAGTGGAGAAAACTGAAATACCTTGTAACTTTTGTTTTGTGTCTCTATTTTAAGGGTCTCCAACTGAATTCCTTGAAGAGAAAATGGCCTACCAGGAATACCCAAACAGCCAGAACTGGCCAGAAGATACCAACTTTTGTTTCCAACCTGAGCAAGTGGTCAATCCTATCCAGACTGGTAAGTCCTGGCTTGCTTGTGACTACTAAATGTGAGCTATCACATAAATGTGA